CGTATATAAGTTTTGTTTATTTTATCGATTTAAATTTTATTATAATAAAAAAATTTTAAAAATAATCACATTTAATTTTTTTATTATATTAAAAAATTTTCATATAAAATCACATCTCTATTCTAATTAAAAATTTAAATCAACAAACTAAACATGCTCATAATATATTAGCGGTAGTCTAGTAAGTCCACAATGTGCTTTCTTAAGAATATAATACCAGAGGTAATATGATTGGAAAGAAAAGTAATATAATAGAATTAAGAGTTATTCATTTTTTTATGTGTTTATTTGATTATTGGGACATTTTTAATACAATACTATAATTAATGTAGCATCGTAAATTTTATATTTGAGTGTAAAAAATACTCTCTAATGTAATACTATTTGTTGTGATGAATTTATCATTTGTTATACTTTATAGTAAATTTCTCGTCGAGTATAACATATTGTAAATTTGACACTTGATTATTATCGGTTGATATTGTTACTTTTTCATTTAATCATTGTAACTTTTATTTTTCCTAATTATTTTAAAATTAAAATTTTACTTTTATAAATTTTAAAGCTTATTGATTGTAGAAAAGTAAATTTTAGTATTTTAAATATCATTATGCATTAGAGCACAATATATTAAATTTATAATTGACATCAATATTTATATTAAAGATGGTCTTCGATGTGTGATTGAATACTTTATAAATACCTTCTCAAAATAAGAAAATGAGAAAAAAAAATGCTCCCTTAATTTTTTTTGTTTTTCTTAAAACTTATGTACGTATTCATAGTGCCAAATTTTTTCTTAAAATGACGCTTATGCGACGGCTTAAAATAGGTATAAAATTACTAGCCCAATCATTTTCAGAAGTTCAACAATAAAATCATTTCCAAAAATACACATTACACAACAATAAATCATTCGAGGAAATCATGAATTGAATCCTATCCAATCCAACTGTGTTGCCTAATGATCGTCCAACTGATACTGTCGTTTGAGGATCGACCCAAAAATAAAATGTCGTTTGAGGAAACACGTGCCAAACCACTCGACACATACAACGAGTAGGTTGGACCCCAAACATGTTCAATTATTATGAAATATAGCTTGGAATCGAAGTTCCACGTTATCATGTTTTTGTCATGTTAGAAGCTATAATATTCATTTTTCTACTGTGGGTCCAATCTTTCAAATCAATTACGGTATTTTATACACGTGTTGTGTGCGCTCTGAATTTTTATGGTTTTAGCATTTTATTCTTGAATTCTTAAATTTTGACAAGTAACTGGTTCCGTTTATTTCACTGATTCGAGTTTAGAATTTGAGTTTTGTTATAATTAAAAGCTCTCAGAAACAGTCACATTTAACTTTTTTACTACAGTAAAAAACTCTCACATAAAGTCACATCTCAACTCAAATTAAAAACTCAAATCAACGAACTAAACAGACCCTTAATTTAAAAAGTTATTATAATATGTTTCATTTTAATACTAATTGTATTAACTTAGTGTTAAAAAAGTATATTCAACAAAAAATTCTAACATCTTAATTCAATTGTAACACATATTTTTTTATTTCTCAATTTTTAATCTCTTAAATCTCAAAATAAATGGACACATTGCAACAAATTATAAATTTAGAGAATCAAATGTCAAAATTAAGAGTTTAAAGAGCAGTTTATTAAAGCACGATAAATTTAAAGGGTAATTGTGCTAAACACTAAATAATTAGACAAATGAGTTATGCCGTTGTTTTGTTGGCTTTATGCTATGTTTGGTAGAGTAGAAAAAAGAGAGAAAAAAAATTAGTGGAAGGATTTTGGAGAGAAAAAGGGAATTTTGAGTTGTTTAATAGATAAAATGAGAAAAGAAGAAAAATGTAAATCTACATTACCACTAATTTTGAATCCTTTTAACTTAAAAAAATAAAAAAAAATTAATAAATAAATATAGTGTAAAATAACTAATTTAACTTTAATTATTTTTTATTTATAAGAGTTTATCGTCAAATACATCAGATTTAACTTTTTTTTCTTTTTTTTCGTTTGTTTATCTTCTACTAAACAAAATAAAAACAATCCTTATTTTTAAATTTCATTTGACGACGTTTGATTTATAAATTTAAAATTATTCTTAATTTATTTATATTTTTTATAAAAAATATTATAATAAATTACGAATCATGACGCAGTTTACGTGTCTTTTTTTCTTAATCCAGCCTACCAAGTACCAACGAGACTCATTCGTAAAGATTGGATTGGACCCACGGAAGAAAAATGAATATTCTAACTTCGACACGACAAACATGACGTGGAAGATAGATTCCAAGCTATATAATATAATATATGAACATAAGTCACAGTCACTTTCGCACTAATTTGATTTTCGCAGTTTGGGGTCCTACCTACTCTTTGCACGTGTTGTGTTTGCACTCTTTTTTAATTATAAAAAGATATTCGGTTTTCCCTTTTTACTTTCTGGTTCCCGCACTTATATTAAAAAAATAGAGAAAAACAAACTTGTATATGTCAGAGTCAGAGTATACGGATTTGTTTTTTTGTTTGCAAATATCACATACAAAATGCTTGTATGGTATTGGTATCGTTTCACTTGTAGGGTGATCATGCTGATGTCTCTCAAACCTCTCTATTCGTCTTTCATTTAAAAAAAAAAAAAAAAAACTTGTCGTTTTTTCCCCCAGTTCTCATTTTAATTTGTATTCTTAGATTTAATCATTTATAATCATTTAAGGCTTGTTCTTTTAAAATTTAACTTGAATATAATTCTTGAGTTGAATTTAAGTTATAATTTGAGTTTGTATTTGATTGTGTACATTTGAGATAAGAATATTTTTGAGTTTGTGTTTGAGTGAGTCAAAACTTAAATTTATATTTAGATAGTATTTTAATAAAAACTCAATACTAATGAAAAATTTTAATATGGTATATGGGTGAGATTTTATTCATCTTTTCGTTGTCAATGCATAGAAAAAAAAATCATCTCAATCAGAATTAAAACGAAAAAGTTATAGCATTTTTAAGAATAAAAAAACACTGTTCATTAATTTGAGTTCGAGTTTCTGAACTCGAGTTGAAGGGGAAACTTGAACTCGAGTTTTAGTCCCAAACTCGAATTTGAACTCGAGTTTAAAATTAAAAAAACATAAACTTAAATAAAATTGTAATTTAAATTGTATTTTTTGAGTTTTTCACTCAAAAGAACAAGTCCTTATTAGTTATATAGGCTAGAAGCTCTGTATTGTTTTCCTCTGGGATGTTCCTCCATGTGGTGACCAATATCCTTACGTCTATTTGATTTTTTTGCATAAGAAAAACGTTACGTGCATAAACGTTACCTCTTATATGCACTAACCATTAGCTCGCACGTACATATCGTCCTTAGATATTATTGGATTCTATTATTTGTGCATTTGTGTTTACATGTCAACAATCACAGGAAGAGGACCCCCCATGCGTGGCGATGGCTCAAGTGTGCATAAGCATACTGTTTATTTCGCCGATTCGAGTTTAAAATTTAAATTTCGTTACAGTAAAAAGTTCTCAGAAACAGTCACTTCTAATTTTTTTGCTACAATAAAAAATTTTCACATAAAATCACATCTCAATTCAAATTAAAAACTCGAATCAACGAACTAAACATGCCATCTGACTACTAGAAAAAGTCTGTTATTTCTTTCTTTTTTATATATAGAAAATTACTAAACAAATCTTGGAAGATGATGAGTGGCTCCAAACCTTTAGACTTTCATCAAATAATAATAAACCTTTTTCACGCTATTTGATTTGGTGAGAATTTTAGAATTTGAAAATTGTATCCTTTTTTTTTCAGTGGGATTTTCATTCATAATACCCCTATAAAATTTTCAGTGGAAATTTTTTTTTTTTGGTATGGGATTTCATTCATAATACTCCTATAATAAATACTTGTATAATTACAGTTTACTAAACACTCAATTATTTTTTATAACAACTGTTTTTTTAGTACAATTAACAACAAATTTTCTAATATTTACATAACTACAAAAACTGGCCCAGAGATAGAAATATGCAGGACCCACATTAAGAACTAATCTAACAGCTAACACCGGTGGAGTAAAAATGCGTGTTCTATAAAAAAAATACTCCCTAAAAATAACAGGATAAGAGCATCTTAAAAAACAATGTTATAATTGATGAGTTGTTGTAAATTTAATATTTAAGTGTAAAAAATACTTTTTAATACAATATTAGTTATTGTACTAAATTTGTCATGTATTACACTTTATGGTAAATTTTCTTTCAAATATAACATATGATAAATTTGATATTTAATTTATATTGGTTGATACGTTTGCTCTTTAATTTAATCATTGAAACTTTTCATTGTCAAATTATTTAAAAAATAAAAATTTATCTTTGTAACTTTTTTCTTGAGCAAATACTCGCACACCTTTTAAAGCTTAGCGTTTGTTTAATAAATGTATTTAAACTCATAGTTTTAATTATGCTACAATATTTTTTTTTATAAAGAATTTGCATTCATAAATTTCTTATTAATGTTTTTTCATAAAATTTTCATCGATAAATCAGAATCATTCACTTAAACGCGTGAACTAAATAAGTCGTTAATAATTATAAAAAATAATAGATTTATTATTTTAAATAACATTATATATTAAAATATAAATAAAAATAACATATCTTATCATATTTTTTTTGCTGTCAAATATATAATTAATATTAATATTTATTAGATATGGTCTAATAAATAAAATAAATTTCTTTACATTTAGTTTATAAATTTAGAATTATTTTTAATTTATGTGTATTTTTTGTGAAAAAAAATATTATAACGGATAATGAATTATGATTCAAAACACGAATTTTGCTCCAAACGTAAGACGGGGGAAGAGGGAAAAAAAAGAAAAAAAGAAAAAAAGCCCCCAAGATTCGGAAAGCCTACTTTTATTTCGTTGTCGTTCATGTTCTTTATTTGTTGAGTGACATTGTCGTTCACGCTTGTTTGACTGGAGTCCACACGATATTTTTGAAGTGCGGGATCATCAATAATATCACCCCTCGTTCCCCGCTTCAACGTCAAATCTCTCCTATAAATACAACCCTAACGCCTTTACCGCCACCATTGTCCCTCTACTTCTTCCCCCGATTCCACCACCATTCTCTCGCTTCCCCAATCAATCAGGTCCGATTCTCGAAATCTCTCTTCCTTATCTCTTATCATTGCAATGTCTCTTTCCATTTTCGGTGATTTTGATCGAGGAATTTTTGTTTCCTTTTTTTTTGAACTTTTGTTGTTGTTTTTGCTATTGCAGAGAAGAGCCATGGTTGGGAGTAGCGCGGAGGCGAGGTCGTTCTCGGATCGCGAGATTGGTGCGGCGAAGGCGGCAGTGGCGGAGATCTTGCTGACGGAGGATTTCGATCCGGCGGCGGTGGTGGCGGAGCCTCTGCCTCCGGTGGTGATGTCTAACGGCGTAGGGAAGGAGATCAAAAAGAGGGAGATCGTACTTGGCCGGAACGTGCACACCACGTGCCTTGCCGTCACGGAGCCCGAGGCCAACGACGAGCTTACCGGCGATAAGGACGCTTACATGGCCAGCGTCTTGGCAAGATATAGAAAGACTCTCATGGAGAGGACCAAGCACCATTTAGGTACGGAAAATGCTTAATAACCACTTTTAATTGATGAAATCTATTAATTCTTATTGGAGAAATTACTTTTTTTGTCCTCTTTCTTTTTCTGGTAGGTGATTGTGTAATTGAATCACGATTTTTTTTAATAGAATTATTTAAATTGTGTAATGACTGTTGGAATGTACAAATCTATCTTTTCGAGAAATTCCAGACGAGAAGAATGTGAAAATCAACAAAGTTGTTAGCTTTCAAAAATACAAATAAACAATCTTAGCAGTCCCAAATAAAAAAACTTAGAGGCCTTTTTTTTTTTTTTTTTTTTTTTTTCTCTTTTTTTGGCAAGAGCATATTAGCAGAGTGATATTGTGAATTTGTGTTTAGTTGAAGTTTTTTATCATGTAGAGCATTTCTGTTTTAGGTCTCTTTGTAAATCCATGCTGTTGATTTGAGAAAATGATGCCGAAGTGAGTAACTTGTTTATTGTGGGAACTGTTCTTTGAAATGTTTGAGATTCGTCATCTGTTGCAGGGTATCCTTATAATTTGGACTTTGATTACGGAGCACTAGCACAGTTGCAGCATTTTTCCATCAACAATCTGGGAGATCCATTCATTGAGAGCAATTATGGCGTGCATTCGAGACAGTTTGAAGTTGGTGTGTTGGATTGGTTTGCCCGTTTGTGGGAAATTGAAAAGGAGGAGTACTGGGGATACATTACAAATTGCGGTACGGAAGGCAACCTACACGGTATTTTAGTTGGGTGAGTATATTTTGTTTGCTTTTCTGGTCGTGGACAATGTTTCTTCTAGTTTAGACTTTTACTAACATGCAACGATCTTGAATTTGTTTTTGTGCAGGAGGGAGGTTTTTCTGGATGGGGTTCTGTATGCATCGAAAGAGTCCCATTATTCTGTGTTCAAAGCAGCACGAATGTATAGAATGGAATGTGTGAAGGTTGATACCCTTGTCTCTGGTGAGATTGATTGTGCAGATTTTAAGGATAAACTCCTTGCAAACAAGGATAAACCAGCCATCATCAATGTTAACATAGGTAACGCTCTCTGTCTTCCACATTCGCCTAAATGTTAACCCCTTTTCTTTTCTTTTTTCTCAGTTATTGATCAGTGACTTGCTTGTACTGTAGGAACGACTGTCAAGGGAGCTGTTGATGACCTTGATCTTGTTATACAAACCCTTGAAGAAAATGGTTTTCATGACCGGTTCTACATCCATTGTGATGGAGCATTATTCGGACTTATGATGCCTTTTGTCAAACTTGTAAGTCATCTCAATTCCAATGAACGTATAATCTGGAGAAACCCATTTGTTTCCATTATAATAGCGGGGTCGCCTTTCAGATGGTGCAGTATAATATGGACTTGGAAGGTTTTCTATGCCCTCTTAAGTTTATGTGAATGATTTGAAATGATTCATCATTACAAAATCTATTTAGTTGAATTAGAGATTCCTTGGTTAAACTTGAACATATGAAGACTTGTCTGTGCCAAAAGGCTGAGCAATGTTTTTATTGACTTTTTGAGTAATGATTTCTGAGATTACGGTTTGTTGCTTTAACAGGTGATATAAATGCGTGTCTGAAGTAAGTGTTTTAACATATTAGGCTGAAATGCCACCGTGATCTGTAATCTACGGTTACACTAACTATTGGATCTTTGTTTTCTGTTGGTTGTGTGAGCAGGCACCAAAGGTTACTTTCAAGAAGCCCATTGGAAGTGTGAGTGTTTCTGGCCACAAGTTTGTTGGGTGTCCGATGCCTTGCGGTGTTCAGATAACTAGGCTGGAGCACATTAATGCCCTCTCGAGGAATGTTGAGTACCTTGCCTCGAGGGATGCCACAATCATGGGAAGCCGGAATGGCCATGCCCCTATTTTCCTCTGGTACACCCTCAACAGGAAAGGTTACAAAGGGTTCCAAAAAGAAGTCCAAAAGTGTCTTAGAAACGCTCACTACTTGAAGGACCGGCTGCGTGGTGCGGGGATTAGTGCCATGCTAAACGAGCTCAGTAGCACAGTCGTTTTTGAGCGGCCTCTCGACGAGGAGTTTATTCGCCGGTGGCAGTTGGCATGCCAAGGGAACATGGCACATGTTGTGGTGATGCCCAATGTTACCATTGAGAAGCTTGATGTTTTCTTGAATGAATTAATTGAAGAACGTTCAGCGTGGTACCAGGACGAGAACGTCCAGCCTCCTTGCCTTGCGGCTGAAATAGGAGCCGAGAATTGTGCTTGCAAACTGCACTAGTTTTAGAACTTTGCGCTCCATTGTTGTTGTTGTTTTGTCTGTAACTGAACTCTTAATTTTTGTAGTATCTTAATAATTTTCGGAGTGGTCTTCCCCTTGATAATTGTGAAGCCTTTGACTCGATTTTATTGTGTGTTTACTTCACATGAAAAATATATATAAAAAAGACCCTCTTTTTTCCCTCCTTTATCACGTGTGTTTACTGAAAAAAAAAAAAATGAGGCTTTAAGCTCGCATTTTGACGTTTCCCTATCTATTTATTCACACAAGAACTAACTTTGATTTTTTATGTCAACAAATGGCACTGGAAAATTTCTACAACATTACAACATTTGATCTCTAATATTTTCAACATATCTTGGTGGCTAAAATTACATTATTCCCAAAATCATTGGAAGATTCACACACACTACATTTTATCAGATTATCTTTCAGAGCCAACTACCTGCCATGCTTCTGCTCTTCTCCAAAGTGTAGTTTATATTATCTTCTTCTTGATCTTGACATTCTTTCTAAATATTCGTCTTTGATTTTCACCTCTTTCCTTCTTTCAAAGTGTTTCGACGACAATCGGATACTTGTTTCTCAGCATCCTAACAAGTGTTGGCTGGACCGAATCATCCCTCTCCAGAGCTCTCCATCTGTTGCAAAGATCACAACTAATCAGAACTTTAGCTCCTTAAATATTATTAGTGAAAACATTCTCTCTACCTCGATCCTTCAGAACTGTGAACATTGTTTCGTCTACTAATTATGAATAAGATACTCATTATTAACAATACCATGTCTAAGAAAAATTAAGATATATTATGTTAAGTTGTACTGAAGTATGTACCAGATATAAAACAATTAGTTGCTGTAGTTATGCAATATAATGCAATTTATTATGTCTAATCTTACTTGTATCTGCAAACCAGATGATGAATGAATATTGAGATCTCGAGTTTGGCCAAGTTAATTCCAGGACACATACGGGGTCCGCTACCAAATCCAAGAAAGCTGAAGGGCCTTAATGGTGCCTGCATTCCACGTAAAATTTACTTCCAATTTCACAAGTTGTGTGAAGTAAATCCCACTCTTGCTGATTGATGAGTTCAGAAAAGATCTTACATCAAATCTTGAGGGGTCAAACTTCTCGGGATCGGCAAACATTTCAGGGTCATGGTGGATCGAAACTACATCCAAGTTGACTGACCAACCTCTCTTGATTTTATATCCTGTAGTAGTTGATAATGATTCAGAATTAGTGTGATTTCTCTAGAAAATATTTCGGCATCTGATTTCTTCGTTTTTTAGAGCCATACCATCAATCTCGAAATCCTGTGCTGCTTTTCTTGAGAACCAAGGTAGTATTGTTGCTCGCCGAAGAGTTTCATTGATCACCTGGGAAAAAATAAAAAAAAAAAAAAAAAAAAAAAAAAAAAAAAAAAAAACCAACAATTTCGAAACCCCGTTTGTCTTTTAGTAGTTAAGCTAGTATGAAGCTAATAATCATAAATAATTTGCTTACTTTAGCTGTGTAAGGCATGCTGTTTACTTCAGCCCATGTGAGATTTGTTCCATCTTTTCTGTTTGCTTGTATTTCTAAGTGTTCATCCTGCAAAATTTTTAATCCAATGTCCAACTCTTTCCTTTTTTTTTCTTTCCCTTTTTGTCTTTCATTAAAAAGATGCTTAGTGTTAAGGAAGAGGTGAAAATGTATGAAAAAAAAAAGTTACTCTTAGTTGTTCCAAAACAGAAGGATTTTCTCCGAGGAACTTGATCAGCCATGTAAGAGCAGCAGTTGTGGTATCATGACCAGCAACCAGCAAAGTTAATATATTGTCCTTCAGTTGTGCATCAGTCAGTTTATCTTCATTGTCTTCTTTGCCTGCTGCTAATTTGCTATGTTTCATTATCAGGGATTCCAAGAAATCTTGTTGAAATCCTTCTCCATTTCTCCTCCTAGAAATTATCGAGTCCAACATCGCGTACATCCTATCCCGAGCCTAAGGATATTAAAATGGACAATTAGCTAAAAAAATGAGAACAATCTCCAGAATTTCCCTCTCCTAGTCTATACACATGCTGACATGAATTCTTCACTGAAGTCTTCTTTTGGATAAGTACCTTTATACCGCGATGAAAGGCAGTTCCTGGGATTTTAAACGGCAAGGAAGCAAAGGAGGAAGAGATAAGTTTAAAATTGGCTCGGAATTTCTCTTGCTCTTCACCAGTTGGCTCCAGGCTCATTATCATATGACCAATAACTTTGAGAGTGAACTGGAAAATGATACATATTACAGATAGATTAGTATCATTCAGTAGTAGTTACAAAGAATGGAAGTTCACTTGTCATATAAAAATTGAAGAGTAGCACTGTAGAAGTTTGAATAAGATTTCTAATTCCAATACCATTTTAGATTGTCAATTTTCTGGCCTAAAAGACTAAAAAACAATTAGAGGTAAAATAATAGTAAATGTTTGCCTTATGAGGCTTTATTTATCAAATTTTGTTTAGCAATGGATATAATTTTATAACACAAGTTAGTAAATGAAATTCTAAAACCTACTCAACAACTAAATGTACTCAACTGTGGAAGCTTCTTCAAGGACCAAAACTGTCCGACCAGGCCACTGCTCCATCGTTTCGATAGCGAGTGTGTTGATAAACTGAAAGTACTTTTTAAGGCCATCAACTGATAGGGGCTCTGCAATCAGACGTCGGAGCCTCTTGTGCGCATCTCCGGTGGCCTGAAGCAAGCTAGTTGGGCCTAGCACTTGCTTCCCAGTGTAAAAGAGGTTCAAACTCACCATCCCATCTTTTCCTGTTAACAATATCTTGCCTGCTTCTCTCCCAGTCATGAAGACAGTGAATCTTCCTAGTACAAGTGTTTTGAACACCTTACCATACCTATGTACTCATAGCACAATTCATAAATATTAACTACAGTAAAAAGAAAAAAAAATGGTCGTATGATTTATGGAATTTTGGAGACAAGTATAAAAGAATACCCTATTGATAATTCGATAGTCTCTGTTTCTGAAAGGTCAGATTTTCCTATATCTTGTTAGATTCACATAATGCTTGATATATTTATTGTGTAATTTGATGATTTAAAAAGCATGCACTATTGTGGTAGAATTCTAATTATATTAATTTTGTTTCATTTTGGTGAAGCTTTTGAGTGGTAAGGAACTTAGTTAACCGTGAATTTTTATGACCACAAGCTTATATCAAAATCTATCAATTGAACCAAAAAAAAAAAAAAAAAAAAAAAAATCAGATAGAAGATGCATGCCAAAAACATGATGGTTTTGTAACATTTGCTACTACAAGATAATACATGTTTAATACCCCACTACATAATTTTATTACATTATTCTTATGAGTTTACCTTTCCTGCCTTTTGTGCATGAAGCTGCAAATACCAGATGGGCTTGAAAATTCAGATAAAAATGAGAAACTTTCTCCTACAATAGGCCAGCCCAAGCTACCTGGGATTACCTCCATGGCTTTGGGAGTTGCCCAGAAATGTGACACACAAAAAACTGAAGCTACAAGTATGGAAAGAAGTGCCATAATCAATAATATGATTAGCTCCATTGTAATGCTAGCTAGTCTCTGAACTAAGCCCAGAAAATATCAAACTGAAAAGTTTTTGCCCATCTAATTTTCAAGCGTATTAGAGTTAATAAGTAGGGATTCATTTATTGGGAATGACATTGACTAATACTCACTCAACAGGGCCTGGAATCAACTCCATGTATACAAACAAGATGGAAAACGTTAGTGTTCTTTGTTGTTTTCTTGAGTCCGATGAATACAAAGTCCAATGACATGATTTTATGTGTGTGTATATATATATATATGTATGTATGTATATGTACGTATTTATCATTTCCTATGTCGTGTGGATGATCTACGAAGTACGACAAAACTATCACAACAACATTGCGAGTAGTGGCTTGGGATTGTGGCTGATTAATGATCATAATCTTTGCCGGCCTTATTGTTAAGACTTTGATTCATAATCAAACATGGAGATTCGAAAATCGGCCAGATTCCAATGTTCATCCATACATCTTTTGTCGTCAGGCTAAATCTCCCATCACCAATTCTTGTTTCACTCGGTATCCACTCTGTACAATAAAATGTATACGTAAATGCACACACATATATGTATTTCGTGTATGGGCACCTTAATAGGAGCTATATTTGGTATAAAATGATGTAGGAATGACCTATTTAGGGCCTAGTTGGCATATGTCTACATTCACGTTTAAAATTTTCTCGTATTGTTTCGAGCTCGTTTGGTTAGAGAATTCGTTCTCTGATTCGAATTATGGTTCATGGTTCGCTACAGTATTTTTTTTCACAAAAAACACACATAAATCAAAAATGATTTTAATCTCATAGTTCCAATCCATGAACCAAACGGGCTCTGATTGTCTTCACTCACTCTTTCTTTTTTCAATTTTAAATGTAGCTTCCATATTTTCAAGATATATGTAAATTTGAAAAAATAAAAGGTATACGAGACAAAACTCTCAATTAAAACTGGATCCATCAATAAAATCTAATGAAGGTCAGAAAGAAAGACATACACCGATACCTAACAACAGTGGGAAGGTTTCTCTTCACATAATTAAATTTAAAAAGTAGAAAAAAAAAAATAAAATAGCCTACAATCCAAGCCCGTTAAAACCCGAGAACGTAAAAGCCAACAATAAAATGTATACGTAAATGCACACACATATATGTATTTCGTGTATGTGGGCACCTTAATAGGAGCTATATTTGGTATAAAATGATGTAGGAATGACCTATTTAGGGCCCAGTTGGCATATGTCTACATTCACGTTTAAAATTTTCTCGTATTGTTTCGAGCTCGTTTGGTCAGAGAATTCGTTCTCTGATTCGAATTATGGTTCATGGTTCGCTACAGTATTTTCTTTCATAAAAAACACACATAAATTAAAAATGATTTTAATCTCATGGTTCCAATCCATGAACCAAACGGGCTCTGATTGTCTTCACTCACTCTTTCTTTTTTCAATTTTAAATGTAGCTTCCATATTTTCAAGATATATGTAAATTTGAAAAAATAAAAGGTATACGAGACAAAACTCTCAATTAAAACTGGATCCATCAATAAAATCTAATGAAGGTTAGAAAGAAAGACATACACCGATACCTAACAACAGTGGGAAGGTTTCTCTTCACATAATTAAATTTAAAAAGTAGAAAAAAAATATAAAATAGCCTACAATCCAAGCCCGTTAAAACCCGAGAACGTAAAAGCCGAAAAAGAAAACCCTAACCAGGAAAAAGAGTACCCGAATTAGTTGACAAAAAAGTAGACAAACATAAAAATTAGACACACCATTCCAAATCATAAGCGACCGGATCCATGCAAACCGCAGCATCAAGGAGAACCGCTTTTGAAGTCACCTTGTCCTCCATATGATTTATTAAACCAAATCTTTATCTTAAACGTCGTAGAACTCGTTGAATACTCACGGTCTGTGGCTATTACTCGAAAACCCACTATTTTACACAACTCAATAACTCATTAGGAAATAGTAGAGAGAGAGATGAGGAACTCAAGAGTATTTTAAACACATACATACATACATACGTACATATATATATATATATATTCACTTCAACTTAGAAGAAATGATATAGCCCACAATTCATGGAGAAAAATATCTTACATTAGTTGGCAGAGAGTTTGATTTGCTCTATCTCTCGAGTACACACAACATAATGCATAATGATTCTTAATAGTAAATTCACACTTATACACTCTTAAAGATAAATTTTATAATATTTTTTTTTTTCATATAATTATTATATTATAAACTTTTTTTTCTAAATACTTAATAAAACTCCAAGTCGGGCCAACCCTAAGACTGTCGCTCTTTAGAATTGGGCTGGCCCGATCCCAAATTTCCATTAACTTTCACCTCTACTACAATAAAATGTATACGTAAATGCACACACATATATGTATTTCGTGTATGTGGGCACCTTAATAGGAGCTATATTTGGTATAAAATGATGTAGGAATGACCTATTTAGGGCCCAGTTGGCATATGTCTACATTCACGTTTAAAATTTTCTCGTATTGTTTCGAGCTCGTTTGGTCAGAGAATTCGTTCTCTGATTCGAATTATGGTTCATGGTTCGCTACAGTATTTTCTTTCATAAAAAACACACATAAATTAAAAATGATTTTAATCTCATGGTTCCAATCCATGAACCAAACGGGCTCTGATTGTCTTCACTCACTCTTTCTTTTTTCAATTTTAAATGTAGCTTCCATATTTTCAAGATATATGTAAATTTGAAAAAATAAAAGGTATACGAGACAAAACTCTCAATTAAAACTGGATCCATCAATAAAATCTAATGAAGGTTAGAAAGAAAGACATACACCGATACCTAACAACAGTGGGAAGGTTTCTCTTCACATAATTAAATTTAAAAAGTAGAAAAAAAATATAAAATAGCCTACAATCCAAGCCCGTTAAAACCCGAGAACGTAAAAGCCGAAAAAGAAAACCCTAACCAGGAAAAAGAGTACCCGAATTAGTTGACAAAAAAGTAGACAAACATAAAAATTAGACACACCATTCCAAATCATAAGCGACCGGATCCATGCAAACCGCAGCATCAAGGAGAACCGCTTTTGAAGTCACCTTGTCCTCCATATGATTTATTAAACCAAATCTTTATCTTAAACGTCGTAGAACTCGTTGAATACTCACGGTCTGTGGCTATTACTCGAAAACCCACTATTTTACACAACTCAATAACTCATTAGGAAATAGTAGAGAGAGAGATGAGGAACTCAAGAGTATTTTAAACACATACATACATACATACGTACATATATATATATATATATATTCACTTCAACTTAGAAGAAATGATATAGCCCACAATTCATGGAGAAAAATATCTTACATTAGTTGGCAGAGAGTTTGATTTGCTCTATCTCTCGAGTACACACAACATAATGCATAATGATTCTTAATAGTAAATTCACACTTATACACTCTTAAAGATAAATTTTATAATATTTTTTTTTTCATATAATTATTATATTATAAACTTTTTTTTCTAAATACTTAATAAAACTCCAAGTCGGGCCAACCCTAAGACTGTCGCTCTTTAGAATTGGGCTGGCCCGATCCCAAATTTCCATTAACTTTCACCTCTACTTATCAAACTCTTCAATGCAAATAAAAAATTGTTGGTAAGTACGTAAAGACAAAATTTTTTTTTTTTTTAATCTTACAAAACTATTTATTTAAAGTACCAAAACCCCTTGCGAACAGGTATAACTGCTCTTATTGCTATTCATCAATGCAAGTCTTTGTTGCTTGTTAAACGGGTCCTAGACTTCATGTGTCATGACTACACATGTCATATATGTGGTGCTTTTGACATAGTGGTGTATTTAGCATGCCATTTTTCAACACATGGATAGGAAAGCTACCAGCTAAAATCAATAAATAAAATAATATAAAATAAGATAATAATGTCAACATAAATTAAATTTGTTGACTCCAATTAATTAAAAGGATCTCATAGAAAGATGACTCTTTTGGCCCTTGGAATACTCCCTTATCACAACAATAATCAACTGAAAATTTCGAGGCGATTGCCTCCTCCAAAAAAGGAATTTAGCAATTAAAAAAAAAAAAGAAGTTGAGGGGACAAAAATTTAATTTCGTATTTACTCATTGTGATTCTAAGGAAGCATAAAAAAAGGAAAAAAAAAAAAGGAGAAGAATAAAGAAAGAAGCACAAGCCATTCTTCTTGCAATAGTATTCAACCCAAGATTCCAAAAGTTTTTTTTTTTTTTCAATTATATCCTACATTTTGAGATTATCAAGAGATCATATCCTATCCTATATTTTGGACTGTATCACATTTATACTTCCAGTTTTCAAATTTATGTTCAATTAATACTTTTTCTCAATCAATAGTCTATTTTAACCACAAAAGACCTGAACACCATTAAAGAAAAAAATAAGAATAAGAAAATTAAGAAAAAAAATAAAATTTAAAAATGTTTTAAGACATGTTAATTTCATGGTCAAAATTAACATTAAATGTACAAATTATAAATTTGACACAGTTTTAAAAATAAAATTTCTTTTTGGTAACCTGAAATGCAAGGTATAAAAATGAAAAAGAAAACCCACCTTTCAAAAAGTCGTACAGGTTAAATTATAGGCAGAATTCTTTCGTTTTTTTTTTTTTTTAACCTATAAAGGGTATTGGCATTAAAATTTCTTAAGAATCGAGTTATTAACTTGACAAACTAAAACCAACAATTATCTTTTTGGAAACCATCAAAAGCGAAACTTGATTCAATGGCAAGAAACTTTACCAACCAAACGGCATGAACTTTTATAAAGTGCTACCTTTTGTTGTCGTTTTTACATACGTCGGTGCCTTTCTGAAAAAAGTATATCCTTATTCCTTGAGCTGATGATGACACTTTCAAGTTCAACATAGAACGGCTGGTCAGGAGACATAAAAAAAAACTAAACTTTCAAGTGAATAATATTGCTTAAAGAAGTCAGCTTTTGGCCCAACAGGTGTTTAATATTATATAACAAGTTGTTAAACATAATTTTCAGTGTTGTACTTTAATGGACTCGCACATGGCTTGCTCACTGTTAGCTTTACACGTTATCGCTTAGACCAATATAAACAGATCAGCAACCAAATAAATAAAAATACTCCTTTATCCCTTTGACGCAATAATTATCTCTTTCTTTAATGATATCTTTGCCCTCAATAATTTGACCATGACAAAAACAACTTCATCTGCAAACTTGCACACATTTTATACGCGAATTGAGGCTCACTATGGCTCGTTTGACATAATCTTACTATTCATGGTGAAATAAATCAAAAAAGAAGAAAACAATCTATAAATAACAAGAATTTTTAGTGACAACAACAATTACTATACAATTTTATAATACAAATCGTGAAAATCGTTATAATAATCAATATGTATTATATTATTTTTAAAATGTTCTAAAAAGATTTTCTATATTTCTATTTTACCCTTCTAAATGTATCATGTAATGTAATTTTCAGTTAAAAAAAAAACATGACTATCAACAAAATCATATTTGAGTATACTAATAAATAATAAAAAACTTAAAAAAAAAGACTCTAAAATTTATTAAAATTCTAGTTTGAGTTTCAGAATCTTCTTAGAACTTCATTTGAGAAAACCATATTTTATGAGTTTGACAAGATTATGTTTTGCAAATTTAAAGCTTTATGAGTAGCCCTCAAACACTCTCAGAAACCACCTTTTAACACGGCTAAAAGCTTTTCTCAAGAAGGAACCGCGAAAGCTAAAAGCTCCTTCCAAGAAGCAACACGAAGCTCCTCCAACAAAGAAATGCCAAACAACCCCTATATACATCAGAATCACTCACCAAAATGTTTATTAAATCCCTACGCAAAATGGAATTTTGAGGATCTAGCCACAGATTAAAAGCATGCAAATGAACCATTATAGTCTTATTTGTTTAACAATAAGCATTTACTCTATAGAGAATACTTGTAGAGTAAATCATATAAAATAAACAATATCCATCTAACCATAGGTGGTGCAACAGGGTTTTGCTTTACAACATGTTCTGAGTAATCCTATCCTAGCAATAACATTGAGAAGCCATATATGTGAATAACTGATACAAGGGACTGATATTAGCAAAGCCACTCTTCACAACCATTAAACTGCAATCACATACATATACATAATATCTACATGTACAAAAGCTATCTGAGATGGGTTATAATCACTTATCATGATCCTCTTGATTCCACAAACATGAAGTTTTTCCTGTTAAACAATTTTCATCATTCTAGACCCTTTGGTTGAAGTCCAAGAAGCCCAGGTGAGGCTGCCCATTATTGCTTGATGACTGAGGCATGTGAAGCTGCTGTTGCTGCTGACTCTGGTGGCTACCAAAGTGGTGGAGGACTGGCTGTTGGGACGCGAATTGAGGAGGCAGTCCTCTGTTGAATGGATTGCCATTGACGTGCGGCATTTGACCGGTTGCGATCTTAAGCCGCTGAACTTCTTCCTTCAATTTTTCATTCAGAGCTGTTGATGAGGGGGAAAAAGGAAAAAGAAAAAATACAACAAAGATTATAAGTAATCATGGAATCTGAATCAATCCTTGGAATTTCGGAAACCAGCATAAACAAAGAAGTTAATCCAGCTTGAAGTTATTAATTTGTTAATAACCGAAACCGACATGATATGAAACATCCATATTCTACTTATATAAGATTCCAAAATGCTCCCTTGATATAGTAGAGATAAGGTTGAAGAGGGGCACACCTTCTCTAAGTTCTGCTTGTTGTTCCATAGCCTGTAACCGAAGTTTGAGCTCCTTATTCTCAGAAGTTAACCCAGTAGTGTCTCTCTGAAACACAGGGAAATCAGCAAAGAATAATATGAATCAATCATCTCTGCTAATTCTTTCTTCGGTTCACTTTCGTAGTCCTTTATGTTTTTCCTTCTTATATTGTCATGCGGTAAATCAAACAATGTAATAGGCTAAAAGAAGAAACTTTGGGGACCCCAAATTTGGGTTTTTATCAATTAAGGTGATAAGCAGACCACGCCTAGAAAAAGGTGATCCTGAAACACAGTAATTAGTGATTGCATGGCCTCGTTGTGAAACACACATATAGGATTTTGAACAAAAAATGAAGTAATCTCTGTTTAAATAATGTCTTGGCATAGAAAAACATAACCTCTGTTTGAGTAGACAAACAAAAATAACGTTCTCTCTTTGACTAGTGTCAAAGCAAAACAAACTAACTTTTGAAGAAAACGAATGGATTGAAGCTAATATTGGAATGGCAGAAAGTAGCGACAGAGCAATCAATTGTGCATTTTAAATGGGAATGGGAGTGATCAGTGATATAATGGAAAATTTGGGGTGCATAGGGGTGAATAAAACTGCACGGTTAATATCCAACCACTGGGCATAACCATATAATTGGCCTAAATAAAATGGAAATTTTACCGTTGCATGATAAGTGATGACACATGTATACATGCACAGAAAATATATTGCAAAAAATGAAAAAAAAAATGGAAGATCAAATGGTCGACACATTTTGAATCAAGTAATGATTTGAACATCCCCCAGCATGCATAGTGCTTATAGGTTTGTTACATGCCGAACCCAAATACTTTGATGATGTCAATAAATGTCTAATTCTTTGTGCAGACTGGTTCACCTATTTTCCCCTCCTCTCCCGGTATAGAAATGTAATGGAACTACATTAATGACGGAAAATATAAACACGCCAATCGCAATTTAAAGCAACAAGTACAATAATCTCTATAAAAAAAAAAGGAAATGAGTTAAAAAGTAATAATGCTAAAACAATTTTACACCAGAAGACAACTAAGTTGTTGCAGCAAATAGTTTACTACTAAAGTCTAACAAACCTCTTAATTAGCTGCGAGTTCAATGCATTTCTAGTACTAAAGTCTTGGTCAAAAACTCCGTGTTTTGAATTTTGGTTACTGCAACTACAGCTAGGAAAATTTTCAGGGACGTAATCATACCTGTAACAGTGTGACCTGCGCAGAAAGGGTGGTTGCTTCGGTTTGAAGTGTCTGTACCTTCCTCTCCAATTCATTGGTATAACGTATCTTCCTCTCCTTCGACCTCGCAGCAGATTGTCTGTTAGCAAGAATCCTGCAATCGAATATAACATTCCAACCACAAAACCATTTGCATCAAATCAAGTTCAAACTTTGACCATCACATCCTAACACCCATTAAAAAAAAAAAGCTCTCTACACGATTACGAATTGTTCTCTTGATCGCATCTACGAAATTCATTACCACATTCCACAAACACAAGTGCATGAATTAAAGCATATTCAAATTCAATTCCATTTTCAAATTGTCCTATATTTCCACAAAACTCATTATTTTTACCACTCAGCTTAACTAAAGTAAATAGGTAGAGAAAAGATTAAAACCCAAAAAAGATACAGTTATTCTCACCAATAATCAAACAAAGAGGACTTGTATTAACAGTCAATTAATCAGATAGAAATCATTAGAGGAGGAGAAAACTATAAATCCTAAAAATAACACGGACTAAGCTTGTAGCAGGGAACATTACCGGTAGTGCACATTTCTCAACATCAAATCACATCAAAATCACATCTTAATCAAACAGTACGCAATAATAATTCAACAACATTCATTTCACCGGTACATATTTTTTCTTCGCCCTACTGTGGAATTCCCCTAAAAAAATATCAACAACCAGACAAATATTCTCCACAAAAAACAAGAAGACTTTTCAACTTAAGACCAAAATTAACCACAAATAAATGTTCAGACTTGCAAATTAAAAAGAAAAAGAAGATGCTCCATGGTTTATCAATAAAATAAAAATAAAAAAATTAAGCAAACAAACAATAACCCAGATGAGAAAGGACTAAGCAGAGACAATTTATTTAAAAAATAATAATAAAAAATAAATAAATAAAACCTTTTAGCTCGTTTGGGGTCAATAAGAGCAAGCTCGGCGAGCCTATCAGGAGCCATAGCCTTCTTAACAGCATCAACCCCAAGAAGACCACCAACAGAATCAACCTCAAACGACGCCGTACAGAACCCATCAACTGAGTTACTATGGCCGTGACGCCCTCCCCTCTTCTCTCCAACAGCCTCCTTCGCCGCCGTCTCTCCGCCGCCAAAACCCAAGCCGTCGAAGAAGTCCGAGTCCACCGACAGGCTCCGGATATGGGCCGGAGCGCCGGAAGAGGCGCTGGGTCTGGTGGTGCTGGGCCTTGTTGTTGGGCCGGAAAACTCGTCGGAGGAGGACTTGGAAGGGTGATCGAGGCCCACCGGAGAAGGGGAAGGCGATGGTGAAGGAAGGGAGGTCAGGTCGAGGTCGGAGGCGTCGAAGAGGAGGAGGTCGTCGAGGTTCGGGAAACGGAACGAGGTGTCCGAGTGGGCCCTACGGTGGTGGGAACCACGCTTCGGCGTCTCCGGCATCTGGTCGATCGCCATGTCCGTTGCCCCCGGCGGCCGTGGCTTTGACTCCATTTTTTGGGGTTTGTGTTTAAGGCTCCGGTGATGGTGGCGGTGGTGTTTTTGGTAATGAGTAGAGAGAGAAAGTGGAAGAGGGAGGGAGGGAGGGAGGGAGGGAGAGAGAGAGAGAGAGAGAGAGAGAGAGAGTTGAAAAAAGATTACACAGAAAGAGCAGTACTAGTTGGCTGAACTTGAAAGTGGCTTTTTGGACTTTTGGTTTTTGGGCTGGGGAGTGGGTGGTTTGGAGTGAGGGATTGAGGGTGTTGTTGAAAGAAAAAGTTTGGGTTACGTTTGTTAGGGTGATTTTGTTTGTACTCTCGTGGTGGACTGGTGGTGCCTTATTATTATTATTATTATTAGGGAGAAAAAAAAAAAGGTCAAGATTTGAGATAAATTAAAATTAATAGATTAATAGTTAACATAAGTTAATAAATAGATCAAATTACTGTTTTTGTCTATAACTTGTCTAGTTATAAACCATAACTTGACAAGTTATTGTCCATAAATCACGGTTTTTATCCATAACTTATCTGGTTATGAATCATAACTTAACAAGTTTGCCCATAACTTATCTGGTTATGAATCATAACTTAACAAGTTATGACCTATTAATTTTTATAACTAAAAGTTGGCCTATATACTTCTTGAAGCTTTTCATATTGGCATATTTTCTACTATTTCCGTTATTATTATTATTAAAGGATTATTATCACTCTTGAATTTTAAGATTATTTTTAGGTTTTATCCTGTAAATTTAAAAAAATTACTTTATCTCTTAAATTTTAAATTATTTCTATTTAATTCTCTCGTAATTTTTATTAAAAATAGATAGAAAAAAAAAATACAATCACGCATAGGGCTGTATATAAACCTGAACAAACAACCCGTAAACCCAACTTACTCTACCACAACTCAACTCAAAAAAAGACAATTTATAGCAGTATTTTTTTATTTTTCGGCCTACTAAATGTCTGACCCGAGGTGTTTAGGGTGGTTTGTAGGTTGGGCCTATAATAACTCGCATACCCCAACCCAACCCGCACAAATATGCATGATAAGGCTATGAGTGTAGACTGATAAGGATGGTTGCTGTTGCAGTACTTGCTTTGAATGGATTTGAATTAAGCCTATAATTTATGTTTGTTTTATGTTTGATGTTAGATGGACTACTTTGCTTCATGTTTAATGTTGGATTGAATTTGAATTGTTATCTATTTGATGATGGACTAATCAATATTACTTTTATTTGATGATGAACTTTGAATGTTGGAGTTATGTTTGATTATTACTATTATTTCTATTTGATGATCAGTATTATTTGATGATGAACTTTGAATGTTGATTTGAACTTTGATTATTTGAATGATGAACTCGACCACCCAACCCACCCCGCCCCGCCCTAACCCAACCCAAACATCATTGGGGTGGGGTAAAAAAAAAGTCCTACCCCGCACCAACACAACCCATGTACAGCCCTAGTCACACTGTCTTTCTGTTTAGAATTATGTCAAAAAGAAACATATACAAACTATATGACCACACTTAACCCCCTATTTTTCCATTTGATTTTAATATAAATTACAACAAAAGGGGTAAAGTGAGAATAATTCAAAGTTTATGGGACAAAGTGAAAGTTTTTAAAGTTCAAGAGACAAATTGAAATGATCCCAAAGTTTAAGAGACACTAGTTAAAATAATCCTTTATTAAAATAATGAGTATGGTATATTATCAATAATTTACGTGATTATTCTTTGATAGTTGAAGGAAAAATAACCTATCAAATAACTCTTAAATAATTTGATAGATTATGAAGAGTAATCTAGCAAATTACTCTCCGGTGAATAATGTTAAAGATCGAAAGTGGTCAACATTTTTTATTTGCAAAAAGAAAAAATAATTTAATAGATTATGAAGATTAATTTGTCATATTATTCTCTGGCGACCAATGTTGAGAATTGGAGCTGGTCAATCATTTTTAGTTAAAAATAAAAATATAATTGATAAATTATGAAGAGTAATATGTCAGATTACTCTCATGTGACTGACGGCCAGACGCCAGATTGCAGGCACCCGAAAGCTGCATTTCAGTGACATCTAGTAATTTACTAATGGTAATCTTATAGATTACTCTTTTCACTATCTAGGATAATTTCGATAATACATGTGTTGAACCTTTGACTAGTTCTAATTCAAGGAGATAGAAACCATTGGGTCAATACGGGTGTGTGAATATGTGAGTGTGCGTGTTCATCAAGGTTCGAACCCTGGTAATTGTTAGCGTTTATGCCCTTAGGAATAAATGTAACAATATTCTTTGAGATATTTTGACTATTAATAAAGATTTGTTTATTTTATATATCTATGTATTGTCATCTTTATGTTCATAATAGTTGAATGTATGATAAGCAAACTGAAAGTCTGAGACTGTCATTCTAAATCTTTAGGTCATGCATGTAATGTGAAGAACATGCGGAAGACAAGAATCTAAAGATGATAGTCTAAATCTTATGATCCACAATCGAGGGAATAAAGTTAGGCGCTTTATTCATGTTAAGATTGTTATGTTGTCTACTTCCTAACAGAGACGGCTTGTCTTGGTCGTCGGAGGTGGGACTCCATGGGTGGAGACATTGATATAGTTTCTAATGGTGAAATCTATATTGGATCGGACCAAAGTTGAATTGTTTTAATTAATAATTCTGTTTGAATAAAACAATTCACT